ATCCAAGAAGCCCCAAGCGTCTAAGTGGAGTAGCAGGTCTGGACTACCCTAGCTCAAGCTCAACCGGTTCTCGAAAAGGCTTGCAGCAAAGGTAATGTTGTAATGCATCTGGCTCATGTTGGCATCCGAATCAGCAGGTAAGTCGGCCATGTGGCTGCAATATCCGAAGAGACGTAGACCACCCATCGGCCACTGTTTTGTTTCCAGGAACACAGCATCCACGCAGGTAGCGTAAGATGTGGCCCCAACGCTGTAGAGGCAAAAGATCGCGCCCATCATGATACATCTCTGGAAAGTGCTTGACGAGCCGAGAGCTGAAACAAATACACAATGGGAGAGGTGAATTTCGCTGCTCGATCACCAAAGCGATGCATATCTGAAGGCCTGCGGCGCGCGATGGTCCCCCCAGCCACTCGTGAGCTGCGGACCGAATCGCCGCCAACAGCTCGTAGGTGTAGCCGGGATAGGTTGAAGAGCGTTCGCCAGCATGCACTCGGGATAAGGTCTCGACGAAGGCCTCAGACTTCCAAAAGCGGGGGCACGGTCGTGATGCCGCCGAACAAATTTGGGATAGCGCTCGTCAGTCACCGAGACGGCCACGTTGGCGACACATCCATTGATGAAGGCGCTGGTACTCAGGAATGGTGGAGCGAGCGGTACGAATAGGCGCTCCACTGCTCAATGCGAGCCAGGATGGGACCGAAAGTCCGCCAGCACCTCGAAGCTAAAGCCAGGCCGAAACGTTGCAGACGCAAGGGGGGCGCGGAATGTTCGCGCGAGCACCGCTAGCTCAGCGCGCAAGAGCCATCTGGGCATCATCCTAAACTGGGGCACATAGGAGAGGACGGGCGCGATGCTGGTGGCAAAATTGGAGGCCAGCCTGGAAATCGCAAGAGGACCGCCCCCCACCATCTTCAATCTGAGCTTGACTTTTAAAGAAGGGGCCAGCCAGCATGAGCTCTCGTCCGCAGCAGGACCCATGACCAGCCCGAGGTAGACCAGGGCACTGACAATTTGGATCTGCGCAAAGAAAGAAGGGAACGATGGCAGCGATCGCTGTGCGCATGGTCTCGGCCAACTGCTCGGTGAACGGTGCATGGGGCGGAACAAATATGCACTTGGCCAGCTCGCGCGATAGGGTAGCAACCGCTTTCGCAATTCGCATAACGCCGGCTACGATCCGACGGGCTTGAAGTTGTCTGACCACACAACCAATGTCATCGGCGCGAGCACGGGCGAGCCCAAAACGTTCGCCGCCCAGCCGCTGTTGAAGATCAAATAGAAAGCACGCCGCCACTGCCGCGCATGTGGACCCGCTTAGAGAGCACCCCTGGATGATACCAGGAGAGATACGCCATGCAAAGGTGGGCTGTCCATTGAGCATGACGATCGCATCCAAGATGTGATAAAGATGCTCCAGGACGGTCATAAAAGCGAAGGGGGCGCTAATCTGCCGAAACACCATCAGGATGAAAGACTGTGCTAAGCTTGGAAAGACCGCGCCAAAGTCCAGCGCGACAAGGGATGGAATATCGCTGCCAGCTGAGGGCGAGTTGGAGCAAGCGCGGGCCGCGACGTCCAGCTCCAAGATGTTGACGCCGAAGTTCCGCTTCGGTGTGAAGCCTCTTTGCGAGCGCGGAGCCTGGGCCGTGGCAAGCTTGCTGAACTGGATGCCGATTGTCGACGCGATCAATGTGATGTCCGTGTTGCGAAACCGAGCACTCGAACAACGCTGGGCGCTGGGGGCAGAAGCACAGCCAGATGCCAGGGAGTCGTCCACCTCCTCACCTCTGGGGAGCCAAACTTGTAGTGCATTGTTGGAGCTCTTGAACAATGACTGGCCCTGCATGGTCCACATCATCGCATCTGCCAACACCTGGATTCCAGTAGAGGTCGCGGCCCAGGCAGAGCACGGGATCGAGCCCAGGCCAGGCTCCGAGCAGCGCATCTTAAGCGCGACCCGACGAAGTAGGGCAGGTGATGGAGGGGCGACCTTAGGGAAGTCCAAAGCGGGGACATGCTGCTCCATGGAAGATTGCGCAAGGTCTGCGTCGACCGGCTTCGCGCAGAAGACCGGGGCCCGATGCTCGATCAAGCGCTCCGTCATGATCGCCGAGTCGCTCGAGGCGCTGGCCGGGCCATGGGGTGCTTGACAGCGCGCAAAACCGGCCTGCGATTGAGAGGGGGCCACATCCCTGAGCGCCGTTCGACTGCAGCAAGTCGGCGCCAGAGGGCCCGAGGGGCGCGCGGCCGCGCGAGGCGCTCCTCGAGCCGAGCCCGAAGTCCATCAGCGCGACGTCGTTGCACGGCGTCTCCCCATTGCTGAAAACAAGCAGGATGGCGAAGTAGAGCATCATGGTGCTGGATCTCCAACAAGTCTCGAGCCGCCCCGCGATTGTCGATGAGCTCGTTGGCCAGTTTGACGTTGTTTCTCCAGACCACCCGTGATATCTGTCTGGCCAGCAACGATGACGCGGCGTTTGACTCTGGCGCCTGGTGAAAGAGTCGGTCACGATAGTCTGAGGCAACTTCACGAATCGCCCACTTCTGCAGCTCTATCTGTCTCGGGGGACACTTGTCTGCGTAGTTCAGCTTGTCGCAAACTACCCTGAGCTGGCGCTGGAAGCCCTCAGCCTCAAAGAGGTGCCTTGGAAAGCGGTGGGATTGAGCGGGCTGAAGCACCCTTTGTGACATACGAACAACATGAGCAGCATGGTCACTGACGTTCCGGTCTGCAAGGTTCTCAGGGCAACCAATTACGGCAGGCTCCGAGGCGCAATGCGTCGCAATCCATCCAGGCCAGCTGCGCCATTGTCTGTCTAGGATAGAGACTGAATGTGGGAAGCGGTCGTAGCGCGTAGGCTCGTCAGACGAGATCTAGACCATGGAACGAAGTGTCTGCGTCCAGCGAGCAACGCGGGCATGTTGGCCTATGCCTTCAGCGAGGCGTCGATGAGGCTGACGAAGAGGAAGAGGAGCGCGAGAAGCAAAGTTCAAGTCGCCGTGGAGTACCACCACTTGATGCAAAGGATCGCCTTGAGCCATCGCGAGGTCAGCTATCAAGACCATGGCGACATAACTCAGCTGAGCGATGGTCAGATCGCGATTGTGCACATCGCCATGATAGACGCGGTAGCCATCCAGTTCCAGCACTACGCGTAGCACTCTACCATGAACCAGAGACCGAAGAGAAACCCCAGCATGGCATCCCGCAGGAAGAGTAGTGGCTACTCCACCTCGCGCTGCAGACCCCTCGCAGTAACTGGTGAAGACGCGTGCGCGCGGCGCTGCCTTCGACAAGAAGTCAGCGAGCTGCCCCTCGTCCTGGCGCACCCCCTGGGGGGCGACAACACCGCGGGTGAAGCCCAGGCGCTTGAGGTAGGCGAGCATTGGCTTGGCAGATGCACCCTGGCATTGCAACAGGACCCGCGCGTTCCACGATGAGAACGGAACAGGAGGGGTGCCTGCCAGACGGCCATGAATGGCGATCGCGAAGCCGTGAAAGACTCCACTCAGATGCTTCAGGAGGAGACATGATGCTGATGATCGCCTCCGTCAATCGCTTTCTTGGCAGCCCGAGCTTTTGCACCACGTTGCCAGCCCACGCAACCTCCGAGGCCATGTTGCCAGGTTTGGGCGGGAGCCGAAGAACAGGTTCCCAGCCCGACATGACGTAGCCCCTGTCGCGACCGCAGAACCACCTCTTGTCACCTGACCAATGTTTCAAACGCCTCCCGAATTCTGCTGCCTCAGGATCTCGAGCATGATTTGCCTTGGATTTTTGTCGGCGCCGATATGTAAGTTTGCCTGTTGGTTGTCCACAGCAGTAACCTCGAAGCGCTTCCACTGGCCAGGGGCGATCCTCTGAGCTCCGAGAACTTGAGTGACCCTTCGCGACGCAGGGCCAACTGCGCGTGCGAATTGGATAGTGAACTGCCTGGCCACGTTCTCAGCGGAGGAGATAGTGAAATACTTCGCGTTTACACCGCGCTCGACAAGCCAGTCGGAAATGACCTGCTTGACCGCGGAGAGCTCGACGAGCTTCGAGGCCATGACACGGACGATGGTAGCGTCGACCTCCATGTCAAATCCAGCAGCACTGGCAGGAGAAGGCTTTGGCATAGCACTTGCGAGGGCGAGGGCGCCACGAAGTTCTTGAAAATGTTCTCGAAGTGTTTGCAGAGCCCATGGAGTCGACACTCACAGGCTCGTAGTCGAATAGAGTGTCCGTCCAGCTGCCCTTGGAACATCCTCTGGTATGCGTCGAAGTTCTCGGAGCAGTACTGTTCGGAGGCATCCCTGGCCATCTTTGGAAGCTGCTGCACAATCTTCAGCCAGCCTGCCAGCAGCAAGAACATGCTCAGCAAGCTGAGCGGCAAAATCCTTGACCTGGTCGGCGACAGTCGAAGAGACCACCTGTGTGAGGTCACGGATGAGCTCGTCCCTGTGTGCTGCATCTTTTTGGAAACGTAGTCACCTGCCAGCTGCTTGATGTAGTCGTCTTTGGTGCACTCGTCGTCGCTGTTGCAGTCGCCCTCGGAGCCCATCGCAGCCACCTGCTCAGAGGCAGCACTCTCAGCGGAAGCTGCAGGAGCACCAGCATCAGTTGACCGGCCAGAAGAAGCACCTGCGCCATCATCGTTAGCGCCCTCGCCCACGGCCTGAGCAGCTCCCTTGTGCCCCCTTTTGTATTTTCTTTCTTGGCCGAGTGAAGACGCGCTTCGGTCCGTCCTCATTTGGCATGCGGGGCGCGGCGTGGGCAACCCTGCACTCCAGGGGGAATCGCTTCCCTGGAGCTGAAAGCAGTTGGGATCTGTCCTCGGATCAGAGGTATCCAGTCTGACCCCGAAGGACATAGTGTCTCGAGCCAAAATTGCTACGGAAGAGGAGGGGGAGGAGGAGGAGGGAGGAGGGGGAGGAGGAGAAGGAGGAGGAGGAGGAGGAAGAGGAGGAGGAGGAGGAAGAGGAGGCGGGGCGCACGTCGGAGCGGCAAGAGCCACTGGGGATAGAAGAGCCCGTTCAGCAGCGCCTGCATCTTGGCCTCCGTCCCGGGCGGGGCCAGGCGCCTCGGCAGGGATCGAGGATACTCAGCACGTGGGCGACTTCGGAGAGCCTGAACCCAAACACGTTTTCACCCCTTGGGGACGCATCTTTTACTTCCGCCGCCTTCTGCCGAGCTTCCGCTGGCTTCCGCCGGCGGAGGCAGCCGCGTTCTACCTCCGCCGACCTCCCTCTGCCCTTCTGCCGCCCACCGCCGCGGAAGAGATGGCAACCCCTGTGATCCTCGAAGGCAAGGCCCTTTTTGGCACGCTCCGCGTGTTTCACGGCGAGGGCACTAATGTTATCTCTCCGCGTCCGAAGGCCTTGCGCGCATCAAGAATCCCCACTGGTGGCCCTTGCACTCTCAGCGGGTCGCCACATTCCCGCTGAGGAAGAGACATCACGGACCGCTCCTCTCTCGCGCCGCAATGGCAGCACGAACGGCCCTGCTGGCGACCGCTACGGCGAGGGCATTGGACAAGGAACCCTTAGATAAGGAATCTAGGGTCTGAAGCTGGTGGAACACCAATTGAGGCTGGGCCATGGATCTCACCGTCGCCCTAATCAGGTAGGGAATCCGCCAGAGTCTGAAGCCTCCTGGCCACATTCCTTCGCGAACGCCCCCCACCGTAGCGCCAGCGTATGCTTGTCCACCGGAGCCCTTCAAGACGACGCAGCCAGCGTGAGAGGATGGCCGAGCGGGGTGAACACCCATCTCGAGTAGGAGACCGACCACAGAATGGATCCACCCCAAGATTGAGATGTCCCTCGAATCCGAAATGATCGCAGATCTGCGCGCATTCTGCGCATTTTCGCAGACTCCATAATTATGCAGTCGACTCCCTGCTCGAAGCGTCGTCGGAGGCCGGACGGGAGGCGCTCGCCAGGCCCGAAGGGGAGGGGGAAACCCCGGCGGCGGGGGCCTTGCCCATGGCCGCCGCCCTGGGGCCCTCCATCTCTCGGGGGCGCGCGAGCATGTTATGAAGAACATCCTGGAGGCCTTGCGCGGCAACTCGAGACCCGATTTACGTCGAATCCACGTCGGGTGTACGTCGGGTGTACGTCGGACTACGTCGGATTTACGTCGGATTTGCGTCGGACTGACGCCGCAACATCGCCGCGCGAGCGTCGACCCATAGCTTACGGAACCGACACGTGGACTAGATCATACTACAATTACGCGCCGCGCGAAGCCTCCAGGATTGTCCTCATAAAGCATGGATTAGCAATCCATGGATTTGGCGCGCGGTCGGCAAATCCATGGATCGGGGGAGGTGCCCTCCCCAAGATGCGGCCGGTGCTGCCTCGTTCGGCGGGGCGGAAGTCCGCGATGTCCCATGGAAGCGGGACCCGTCGCTAGTCCACGCCCCCTGGATCCATGTTCCCTGGGATGCGACGTCGCGAGTATACCAATGCGGGGTTCCCGGAAGTCTAGACCCGTGCATTCCCCATGACCGTTTGTTCATCCCACGGCGATTTTGGTCAGTCCCGAGGCCCGGCGAGGACCCCTAGGGGCCGAACTTTTGGAAAAAAACTCCGTATTGTTTTTTCAATACGTTAGATCTCCGCTGGGAATTCATTCAGTGCTGGCGGGTCGCCGCCCGATGGAGGAGCCACGAGATCGGCTCAGGCCGGAATAAGACCAGGATTAAGTCGGGCCTGTCCCCCCACAGGGGGATCAATACGTTGGATCCCCTGATCAAACGTACTGATCCGTGCCTGCGATCGCCTGATCTTGCCAGAGGGGTCAAGGAACGCTCTCCCCGGACCTCTCCCCCCGGGGCGCGCGTCCTGGCCGGGAGGACGCGGCGGGCCCCGCCGTGGCGGCGAGCCTCCCCCAGGGGGCCTCGAAGAGGCGAGCACGACGGGGGCGGGCAGACGCATATCCCCCCCCCACCAGTAGGAGGAGGAGGGAGGGGGAGGAGGAGGAGGAGGAGGAGGAGGAGGAGGAGGAGGAGGAGGAGGAGGAGGAGGAGGAGGAGGAGGAGGAGGGAGGACGGAAGAGGAGGGGGAGGAGGAGGAGGAGGAGGAGGAGGAGGAGGAGGAGGAGGAGGAGGAGGAGGAGAGGAGGAGGAGGAGGAGGGGAGGAGGAGGAGGAGGAGGAGGAGGAGGAGGAGGAGGAGGAGGGAAGTGGGAGGAGGGAGGACGGAAGAGGAGGAGGAGGAGGAGGAGGAGGAGGAGGAGGAAAACGAGGCGGAGGAGGAGGAGGACGAGGGATGGAGGAGGGTTCCTCCTCGTCCACCTGTTCCATCTCCCTGTCCTCCTCGCACATAGGGTCGGCGGCACTGGCCGCAAGGCCTCCACAGTCGAGGAGGCTTGGTCCAGCCGTGGCGACGCGCCCCCCCCCCAGGAGGCCCCAAAGAGCGAACACGAGGGAGACGGGCAGTGGCATCGGTGCTTTTTCCTCCTCCGAGTGTCCCCAGCCTAGGCGTTTTTATCCTTCTCGCTTCGTCTGGTGTTTCCTCTGAGCGAACGCTTTCGTATTCGGCGTTTCGGCATTGGGCGGAAGGGAGGGCGGATAACGGGGGGGGGCTCCATATCTTTGCTCAATGCGACTGCTTGCAGCGGGGAGACCCCGCCTACTTGAAACACGCGCCCAAAACAACCAAGATCTACTCCATGGGGGGGAAGGGGGCGCGAGGGCCCGCGCCGATCGGCAAAACAATGAATAAACAAACGATGTCCTTCTTCCGTGTCCCCTTCTGTTTCGGCGCGCCCCGCCTCCAGCCCGACCAGCGCCTGACCGCCTGTTGCACCCTTGGCGCCCGCTAGCGGGAAAGTCCCCGCCTGGCGTGGTTGGGGGCCCTCCCCGGGGACTCTTTTCATCCTGAATCGTTTCTGCTTCATCCCGAGCTGCTTTCTCATCCTGAGCCGTTACCAAATGCCTCCTTGATGGGGCCGGAGTAGACGGGGTCGGAGGATCGCGCCGCATCGCCTATGCATCGGCGATGCATCGCCGATGCATCCCCGACATCGGCTGTGCATCGGCGACGCCAGCGTGGAGAAAATCGGGCTCCGCATCGAGCCGCCTCCACCATCTGACATTGCCCCCGCCTCTAGAGCGTTCCGAAGAGACCCCGCGAAGCACCCCTGAGATTCTGACCCCCTACCAAGCCGGTTTGGACCGACGGCCATGACAAATTGCACGGTCCAGACACCTGCACAGGGTCTCGAAATCCAGGGTGACACACACGCTGTCCGAAGTGTCGGACATGTTTCCGAGAGGCCACCAGGGACAGGAGTACACGCCTCCAAACCAAATCGTCACTCCTCCGTCTCCTCCTCCTCCTCCTCCTCCTCCTCCTCCTCCTCCTCCTCCTCCTCCTCCTCCTCCTCCTCCTCCTCCTCCTTCTCCTCCGACCACCCATCATCCACCCCCCAAGGACCCCAAACCGGCAATTTGATCCCCCCCCGGGCCGAGCCCAACCCCGGACCAAACGCGCCACGGGGGAGCGGAGGGCTCCAATACTAGCCAAGAAGGCACCCAAACGCTCCCCGGACGGTCCCACGGGGCCACGATTCGCCGAAATATCGCCCCTGGGCGCCCACGATGGCCTCCAGGCGGCCTCCGAAGCTGCCAAGACGCCCCAAAAGGCCCCCTAAGATGCGCCCAGAGAGGGTCCCAAGAAACAAAAGTCGTCCCATTCCCTTTCGAAAAGAACAAGCATTGTTCCGCATACTCGCCTATTCGGTTTTCACCATGTCCCAGACGGGCAAGGAAACCTTCAATATCGCCCCCAGACGGCCAAAAGGGCCCCCAAGAAGGGTCGAAGAGGGTCCAACAACAGCCCTCGAAGCCCCCAACCCAAGAGGGCCCTCAGACGGTTCCAAGACGGAGTCCAGAGGGCACCTTTTCGAGCCGTCGGCCCAAAGACGCCCCCAGCCCGCCCCAAGAACAGCCCAAGAGGCCCTGAGGGACCCCCAAGAGAACCTCAAAGGCCTCCAAGAAGCCCCCAGAAAACCCCCAAGAGGCCCCAAAGCTTGGCCCAAGATGCCTCGAGGCGGCCGGATATGGCCTGCAGACAGGCCAAGATGCCACCAAAAGGCTACAAAACAGCACCACGAGGTACGATTACAGCAACGAAGCAACAGGAACGATGTCGAGCGCCGTGTCATGATTCGGACAAGCCTCGTGAAATGCAGTCCTGGAGGCGCACTAGCTTATATAGGGGTCGGCGGATGTGGCGTAAGCCTACATATAGAATCGGGCTCCGCATCGAGCCGCATCGGAGATGCGGCACGATCCCTCGACCCCATCTACTCGGACCCCATCTGGGAGGCCTGGAGCTGCGGGCCCCTGGGAGGCCAGACACAGCGAGGAGGCTCCCTCTTCGAGACGCTGGCCACGACCGCGAGGGAGAGCTGCCGCCCACCCCGCCCGCCTGGCGTACTCCACCGTGGCGCACCACATCGCCGCGAAGGTGACGCCGTGGAGCGGCTCCACCAGCAGCACGAGCCAGGGCCGGGCGCGGGGCAGCAGCGCGTACAACACGCACCGCACGGCGAGGAGGAGCTCCGCCGCCACCAGCACGGCCACGATGCGGCGCGTGGAGCCGCCGCCGCCCCAGAGGCCCAGGCAGTGCCACGGGCGGCATGCCCACCCTGAGATCCTGGCGACCCACTTTTGTTTCGAGCCCGACGCCTTCGCCCCACTGCGGGCTCCGGGGCCCTCACAGATCGATCCGGCCCGCGAAAAGGCGCAGAAAGATGGGGTCCGGGGCTCCGGTTGTGATGCTTCTGCGATGTTGCAGCTTTTCGCGCCGTCGGATCTCAGGGCACACAGCGCACGAGGCGGCAACGGCGCTTCATCCCCCAGTCAACATGCAAGCAGTGCTGAAAATACTGTAATTAGACCTCTCGCCGCAGACAGCCTCACAAGATGCAGGAGTCGACGGAACCATACTGCGGGTAAACAAAAATCCAGGCGACTCCAAATCATCCTATGTGCCGCCACTTCTCGCGCGCTCCTTGGAAAAACACCAGGAAGGATGCCGGGGCCTCTCGAATATCCCAGACCCCCGACGTCGACCATCGAGGGTCTCGATCCATTCCCCTGGACCGGTTACGCGTCCTGAGACGTTTTTGGAGGGTCCCGAGGCTCGGTGAGGACCTCCAGGGGCCGAAAATACGGCAAAACCTCCCGCCGTGTTTTTTTTCATGCCTCGAGGGGGTTTGGGCCCGTCCTCGGAAAAGCACGGGGAGGCTGGGGCCCCTCAAATCGTGCACGAGCCGCGAGAGGGATGCGCCGGACGGCGCCACCCTGCGCTGCGCTGCCCACGCACAACAACAGAAAAACCTGCGCGCCACTGTCGCCCCTGGGCGCGCGGCGCGCGCGCGCGTCAGGCCCAAGTGAGGAGGGCCAAGAGCACCAGGGGCAGGGGGGCGTGTTGTTTCTGCAGCTGCACCAGGCCAAACCGCCCAGATCCAGTATCCCTAACGCAGGGACGGGGCACTCACTGAGGCTTCATCGTGTCATCAGGGTTAGGGGCTCTGTCGTCCTCAATGAAATCAGGGGGGCCTGCAGGGGGCTCGCCACTTCCTCGAGGGAGCGCCGTATCCTCCAGGAAGTGGGGCCCCCAGAGCACTCCAGAGACCCCCAAAAACGGCCCCCCTGGAGCTTCGAGTCTGCAGCACTGATCCTCAGGAGGAACTGGTGACACCCCTAGTGGCACCCACCCTTGGCACTGCCCGAGAAGCGGCCGACGTACTTGAAGACGGGGATCTCGAAGGCGCACATGACGGCGGTGGACGCGCCCAACAGGACGGTGGGCGTGCCCACGAAGTCCTGCAAGAGGAAGACGTTGAGGAAATTCTCAAGGAGCGCCATGAGGGCCCCGTAGACGGTCAGGTTCAGGAGGAGCCAGGCAACCTCGAAGCAGGAGCAAAGACGGAGGGAGAGGATGGAGAGGAGGAGGAGGAGGAGGAGGAGGAGGAGGAGGAGGAGGAGAAGGAGGAGAAGGAGGAGGAGGAAGAGGAGGAGGAGGAGGAGGAGGAGGAGGAGGGAGGAGACGAGGACGAGGAGGAGGAGAACGAGGAGGACGAGGGGGAGGAGTGGGAGGAGGAGGAGGAGGAGGAGGAGGAGGAGGAGGGGGAGGAGAGGAGGAGGAGGAGGAGGAGGAGAGGAGGAGGAGGGAGGAACGTTTTGGAACGTTTTGGCAGCAAGCATGAGGAGGAGGAGGAGGAGGAGGAGAAGGAGGGAGGAGGAGGAGGAGGAGGAGGAGGAGGAGGAGGAGGAGGGGGAGGAGGGGGAAGACGAGGACGAGGACGAGGAGGCGGAGGAGGAGGAGGAGGGAGAGGAGGTCCGTAGCCATTTTGGCTCAAGGGCTGGCCCTGCGGGCTGGCTCAGGCATCGGCATCGTCTGTAAAGGCTTGTGTACATGTTCTGCATCAGCTTGATCTCTTGTCCAGCAAGGGCGTAATACCGCTAGTTCATGTCTTGTCCATGCCTCTCGCATTCAACATGGATCCACACATGATAGCATTCTCGCGTCATGCTCGTCTTATGCGAACGCTGTCAGACGCTACTGGTGTGCACTACGAGGGCCTTGCTCGAGCCGCTCGTCAGTGCCGTAACCTCGAGATGAAGCTCGCAGGCGAGGTTCAGGCAGCCGCCAACAACCATGTCATTCGAGGGAGCGACGCTTCCAATCATCACACCTTCAACGCGAACGCGATGGAGTTCACACCTGGCCTTATACTTGCAGCCGACAGCCTCGCTCCTCTACCTGCACTCGCGGCACCGACTACATCGGCAACGCCAAAGTCATCCTCGTCGGCACGGGCTTCCACGGCAGCGGCGCGGGCCACCCCATGCGCTCCGGCTTCTTCGACACCACGGGCGACGACCTCATGGGAGAGATTGCCAACGGACGCCGCCGCGGCGGCCCAGGAGGAGGTGGAGGCGACGATGGCGAGGTCTGCGGTGGCGGACGGAAAGGTGCCGATGAAGACTGCGTCGGCGGCGGTTGGGGCGGCGGCGACGGATGCAGCGTCGGCGGCGGCTGGGGTGGCGGCGCACGCGGGGGCGGACGGGGTGAAGAAGAAGGGGGCCCCGCGGGACAGCCGGCGGGTGCACTTCGCCCTCCACCTGACACCTCGCGGCGAGCAGAGCTGGGAGACTGGCGGCCCGCAGGACGCAGGGCGACGCGTATGCTGCTACTGGGACCACAGGCGCACAGACATTCCCTGACAGCTCACTTTCGCCTCAGCTCTCCACTTCCCTGCCACCCATTCTATTATGTTATGTGTTTCCTCTCTGGGACGGGTCGGACGGGGTCGGGGCTGTGATGTGCAGGGGCGGTGGGAGAGGAGTCCGTCGGCGCCAGGCTTGGAACCATGCGCCCGAGAGTGACGCTCGGCCACGCCTTGCGATGACTGCCGCAGCCTCCTGCCACCCTGCCACCTCTCCTTCTCCTCTCTACATGCCATCCTTCCTATCATTTTCCATCGCTTTCTGCGTGTCTATCTGTGCCATCCTTTCACCATGTTCATGACCTCTGCGTGTCTGCTCGGACGGGGTCGGGCCGAGAGGCGGAGGAGGAGGAGGCGCCCGAAGATTGGCGGCGGAGGATGAAGAGGAGGAGAACCGTCAGCCTGCATGATGAGCATGTACACGTCAAGACATGCTCCCGTCTGTGCTGTCACAACCTGATCCAGTCAAATGTCTCACGTCTCTTGGCCGCCATCGGCTCGGAACCCCGAGATGGGCACGCAGTGGGAGGGATGGGTACTGAGGACGACTGTGGGATAGGAGGGGATGAGGTGGATAAAGAGATAGGAGGGGATGAGGTGGATAGAGTGTTGGGGCTGGCTGCCCCGTGGCCTCTCACGAGACAAGCTGGTATACTAAGCCAGCAGTGTGGTTCGAACGCCTCTAGACAGATCCCCCGCCTGCCGAAGCTGACAGCGGCTCAGGCGTCGGATGGGGAGGGAGGGGGTGGTATCAGAGGAGATAGCGAAAGAGGCGGAGGGGGGGGAGGAGTCTGCTTCGCCGCACCGCACTGCCAGGGTTTTTCTTGTTTGTTTCACCTCACCGACGCAGCTACCGCGTGACAGAGTAAAGGCGGGGATATAGGGTGGATTGCGATCAGGGGCCTTAAGGAGATAGGGTGGATTGCGATCAGGGGGTCGTTATGTTGCGCCAGCACCCCCCCAAAAGTTGAGCCGTCATAGAGGGACCTGGCCACGCCAAGTCGGTGCACCGTTCAACTGGCGCTAATCGGGCGCGCTTTTGCGCCGTGCCCGCTCCTTGGGAGGGAACGCTCGAGCAGCTGACGAGTTGAGGATGAGAAGAGGAGGTGGTGTAGGAGTTTATGGGTGTGGATGTTGGCTTGCCCCCTGCCTTGACCTGTTTCTTTTTCGTTGAACACCCCTCCTCGCGGCGCTGTTCGTGGGGCGGGGCCGGATTGGTGGCTACAGACATCGTCTCTTTCAGCCGTGAGCAGCAGCAGCAGGGGGAGAAGTGGGAGGAGGAGGAATAAGAATAACAATAATAATAATATTAATAATACCACGATTAATAACACGTAAACGATTGATAATAATAACTGATAGTAATAATAACTAATAAAATAATACGATTAATAATAATAATGATAATACTACTAATAATAATAATAATAGTAATACTGGTAATAATCATAATAATACTAGTAATAATAGTAATGTTGCTGCAAATACTAATAATTATAATTATATGTATAATTATATATATATAAATATACGTATAATTGGAATAATACTAATAATAACGAAGATGATGATAATAAAACTAATGTGAATAGTAATACTAATATTCATAATAATCAAATACTAACAGTAATAACAATAATCCGATAAGAGAGGAAAAGAGAAGAGAAGATAATATAATATAAGATACGATAAGAAAAGACACACAAATATAAGAGAAGATAAGATAATATAATAGAAGAGAATATAAGAGAAGAGAAGATAAGAGAAGATAAGAGAATAGAAGAGAAGAGACGAGACGAGACGAGAAGAGAAGAGAAGACAAGAGAAGATAAGAGAAGAGAATATAAGAGGAAGAGAAGAGAAGAGAATATAAGAGATGATAAGATAAGATAAGAGAATATAATATAAGATAAGAGAAGATAAAAGAATAGAAGAGAAGATAAGAGAAGAGAAGAGAAGAGGAGAGGAGAGGAGAGGAGAGGAGAGGATATACTATAATATAAGAGAAGAGAAGAGAAGAGGCATGACGGAGAAGGAGGAGGAGCGAGTGAGGGTGAGGAGCAGGGAAGAAGGAACAGGAGGAGGAGGATGAGGAGGAGAGGGAGGTAAGGAGGAGGAGGAGGGACAAGTGAAGAGGAGCAGTGGGACGAGGAGGGAGGACTGAGGGAGGAGCCAGGAGGGAGGGGAGAGGAGGAGGAGGATGCGGAAGAGGACTGAGGGAGGAGGGAAGAGGAAGTAGCAGGGGAGAGGTAGGAGGGAGGAGCTAAAAGGGAGGAGCGAGAAGGAGCGAGAAGGAAGGGGAAGGAGCAGGAAGAGGAGGAAGAGGAGGGAGGGAGGAGGGAGGAGAGGAGGAGTGAGGGAGGAGGAAGGGAGGAGCCAGGAGCCAGGGGGGAGGAGGTGGAGGAGCCGCG